CCCTGAAAACTTGCATAGCACATGCTTTCAGAAGCCCTGTATAGATCTTCATGAATCTGCAGTCTAAATCGTGCAAAATCTAGCCTGGACTAATCTAGCCTAAGGTGTAAAAAACACTCACTAGATGGGATTGAACCATGCCAAGAGAAAGTGTAAACTTTTAAAATACAAACTTACTCTTATCCTTGAAACTGGTGGGAAAAGAGTAAACTATAAAAATCCTACCACTATAATAATGTTGATTTTTTCCACATGATCATTGCGAAACATACTGTACTTTGTGATTAGTTGCCTTTAAAGTACAGTAGCGTACCTCTTTTGTGAAACATTTCTGAAGTTTCTTCTCTCTAAGACCTATGGTTTCCAGGGTTTCATTATAGAATTTCAAATACTTTTAAGATGGAGATATTTCAATTGTCATCCCAAATTAAATTCAATGGATTATCTGTGTCAGCAATCATGATGATAGGACATAAGTTCCAACAAGCAGACTAACAATAACCAGAAACAAAATAATGATCTATTTAACTAATAAAGCAATAAGTCACGTCTACTTATCAGTTATTTAGTTATTTACAAGAATAGCCATAAATCTTAATAATCTTAGAAATCTTAAAAATCGTAATAATCTTAAAAATCACTTGCAAGACTGACAGTACATTTGTTGCGTTCTGATGCGGTCATAATATAAATGTTTGACAAATAAATACAGTAGCATACCACGCTACTAAGATGGCTAAGAAGTGTTTCCAAAAAGGCTACGGTGGTCTGGCAAAAAGAATCAGTGGGATTTTAATCTTTCTGTGCCACTTGTTTCAAAGCACTTACTGTGAAGAGAACCCCAAGCTGACTTTTAGGTTAGCACTTGGGTCTCTGCTTGCGTGCTTGTGGGTTTAGTGAACTGGCATACAAGGCTGCTGTGGGATTGTCTAGTTCTAAAATACAGATCTTCCTCATGTAGTGGTTCCTGTTGTCCAATTGGACTTTTTCTGTCTCTTTTGTGCCAAAAAGCAGTGCTGAATTCAAACCAAAATTGGACAGAATTTTAAAGCTCTATCCCCTACACCTGGAGCCCTAAATTACACCCCTTGTGACAAATATTTGCAATTAGAAGGAAAAAGAGGCTGCATTTTTCATAAAGGGCTGCACAAAATGCTCCTTTTACTGCCTCTGTTAAAGGCTTTATGTATTCCCTTCCAAAACAACAAAGCTTTAAATCGCTTTTGGCACATAGACTGTCTTTCACAATGCTGTCCTTATTAGCAGGAGGTCCTCCATTCTTTCTTGTTTTTTTATGTTCCTTCCTTCTGATTAACTTATAACAAAATGGTTACAAAAGGGAGGAGCTTTCTCTTTTTAGTCTTCCAAAGGCTTTCCTCTCTGACCTTTGTGGATACGGTTGGCATGTTCTTATGAGTCATGATTGTTTGTTTATTCGATGTTCCCCCTAACACAACCCTGTCAGAAACTACAAGGCCTGACTTGTCATATTTACTTTTGCACTATGTGATAAAAGAGTCACAGTGGTGTGGTGTGCTTCGGTAGTGTCCATAAGTGAAGGTTGTGAGCAGCTCAGGGTGTCAAAGTGGAGCTCCATACTGTAGTTATGAGGTGTAAAAAAAATAAATTACAGTTTTTCTGTGAAAATGTAATCTTTTTTCCACCTGTAGGAAATTGCATCTGGGCTGCATGCTTAGCCCATACAAACAGGTAAGCTAATTTCACCTGCTTTGTTCTTCTTTTTTCCAAATGTGTCACCCTGCATACACGTATTCATAGGGATTTGAAGGATTCTGATCAATTTTGTTAAAAAGGCAATACACAACCCCCAGAGGAAAGTGCATTGCATAATGAGTATTCATATTAACTTTTTAATTTGCCGGTTTATAAGCACAATAAACTTAACTGGTGTTTCCCAGGTCCATTCCTCAAGAGCCATGGAGTCCTTTGTTTCCCATGCTCACTTTAGTTTTTATTTAGGCAACATTAACAGATCGTTGAGACGTACAATGGTTTAAATAGACCTTTAAAATCTGATGCTTCATCTCTGCCTTATCCATTTCAACTAGAAATCGAGCATTTTGAGGACCCACTGATTTCAAATCAATATACCAGACACTCAAAATATGGTTGTTTTTCTTAGATTTTCCAGAGATGCATCCCTGTCACACCGTTAAGAACAAAGCCACATTGCAAGCATAATGGAAATACCGTATAACAATGGTTTTAGTAGTCCCATCACTAATCCAGCACAGAACAGGGTGATGAAACTGAACTATTTCATTTCTAAACCCATAAATCTAACCTCCATCGCATGTAAGACAATGGACACAATAACCACCATAATCCAATTTAACCTGAAGATGTGGCAGAAGCATTCCTGTGGATAATCAAAATGGCTTTAGAAACCATCAACAGCTGTAAAGAATCTGGAGAAGGTTTCAGAAAATGTTTGGTAATGGTTAATAAAATAGAGAAAAGAGAAACAGGTAAAGGGTGAATGCTCATATTAGGGTGATTTATTTAGTGAAAAACCACAAAGTCTACATTAGGCTAATTTTTATCAGTGACTTCCATTCAGACCTCTCTTACTGTACAAACAGTAGGTCACAAAGGACAGGAGAAATAGCAAACACTGCATGAGCTGCAAAGCAAGCCCACAGATTTCAGTTTTAATTTCCTGCGCTGCAAACGCCTGGAAAATAACATTTAACACAGATCAGTGCAGGTGGTGAAAGGTAACAATAGCCGCCTTCTGATTGAACGAGAAAAATACAAATGAGAAAAGGTGATTTGGCCCCTCTAGTCCATTTGGTTATTTGTATCTGATTGATTCAAGAATCTCATCAAGCCATTTCTTGAAAGAGGACCTACTGACATGACAGGTTAGTCATCTCCGTACTCCTACTACTCTTTGCGTATAGAAGTGTGCATGTTCTCCATATTTTTGTGTCAGATTTTTCCAGATAACTGAGTTTACCCTTTCTTTCCAAAGACATTCTGTTTAGCTTGGTTAGCTTCTCTAAATTCTAAATTTTCTGTGTGCCCAGTTTTCTCCTGCCTAGTAACTCTAGCAATATGCCTTATGTGCTTCCTTAAACTTGGAGTGGAGTTTTTTTATTTTACTGTACTGCGTGTTCTCTTTGTCTTTGTATGCGTTTCCTTCAGGAGCTCCAGTTTCTACTGTAGTTTCTACAAGGCCTGACTTGCCAAAATGGATGGACGTTTCAGAAAAAAGAACAACTCCCGCCAACGCAAGCACACACCCTTTCTTTGCTTGCCCTGACACCACTAATTAACCCCACGTGAGAATGTGCCCTCCCGCAGGATGTGCCTTCCTGCACTGATCTGATAATCTGACCCTGGGTGAAGCTCTCTGCAATTATTTGAAGACCTGTGGCGACCTCTAGTGGTACAGATGTTTCTCTTCTCCCCTGTAACTTATTCCACTTCCAAAGGCTGCTGATGCACCACCCTCACTCCTGCCCTAACACGTAAGCACTTGCCCTTGATCCAGCTTCTGGTACCCAATCAAGGCTTATCCGTTTAGACAGTGCATATGATTTCTGAGTTCTCAAGCACATCCTCAAAACCCTTACACTGTCCTGCACTAATCTCTCAGTCTGGTAATTGCTAACTTGCCATGGTCACTGCAAAAAAAAATTACTGCAATTCCCCTCATCAACCCTGTTGTTTTAGTTCCTTTACCATCTCTTATTTTTCTTTGGTGTCAGGCAGTGTTGCAGGTGGTTTTCCTCGGGGAGTCCGCACGAATTAACAAAGGGTGACAGCAAAAATGAAGACCAAAAAAGCAATGAATATTTACTAAATATGAATTTGCATTGTATTTTCAGTTGTTTGCTGGATAGTTGGGGTCGTGTATTTGTAATCACATGGCAATAATAATGATAATTACTAAAGTGATGTATTTTGGTTTTGATTTAAATTCAGCTTTGATTTAAACCTAGAACATCAGGGTTATTATTGATCTTGTTGGCAATGCCAATAACCACTGCTTTCGTGATGCCCTTGGAGTACCAGAGGCTGTCTGTATCCTATGTTAGTGTTGCCATGATCAGATTCATCTTCCTTTTAGCCTGCAAACAAACATTTAAGCTCCAGACTCCACAGTGAGTGACCCTCTCACAGCATCCTTCCCTGCTGTTTTTTTTTAAGTAAATACAAGCCGATTATTCCAAAAATGATCAGGATCCTAATGGTTTTATTCCAAAGGTTAGAAACGTCTTGCATAGGTAAGCTGAAGTTGAGCACAACTGCTGTTCATTCTAATTCTGCGTAATTCCTGGATTCACTCATATCTATGCATTCCAGAACAGAAGCTGTCTCCTCTTTTGTAATAAACTACTGTTATTTATGTCAATATACCGTATTTAGAGTAGCAAAATGTGGCCCCATTAACTGATTAAGAGGTAAAGCGAGGAGGTTTGTGTCTTGACGGATCTATCAGCTTATAAATATATATTAAATATTTCTGTGAACTTTTTCTAAGAAAAAAAAACATTTAACATCAAGGCAATACAGGACACAGTGTCTTAATTTGTAGAAAGTTGTACTAAAACTACTAAAAAAAAGTTTAATTTGAGAGGGCTTTGTGTGTACGGCCGTCTCGGGCCACAACACCTGATAACGTTCATATCTTTGATAACAGCCAAATACAGTGGCTATTTTCTACTTTCTCAGAATGTCTTTGAATGTTTGATTTTATTTCTCTGTTTTTACCGTCCAATGAAGCTGGGTTTTATTTGTAAGAGTTTATCTTGGCAGGAATCGAGCTGCGGTGTTTGGCTTTTACGGAGACAAATCCATCAATTTGGTTGTGTCCCACTTCCTTCCATCGTTTCCTCTTGGCATTTAACGAGGCAGAGGTCTCCAGCAATGCACTTCAATGGTTTGTGCAGACAATATGGCAAGCGGATATAACACTCATGTCTTATCACTCTCTAGGCATCAAGGAAAGTTCCTGGGTTATATAAGCCCTTTTCAATTCCCCTGTTTCCCAGAGGCTGGTACATTTTCACAGCTATGGTTTCTCATAGCTGAAGCTACGGTTTTGGATTGTTATCACACACCTTCTACTGAAGACTGAGGTAGGCTGAATAAAGAATTGACCGTTTCACAGCTTTTATCTAAATGAGCCTCTGACTGAGAGATTACAGATGTGCTGAACCCAGAACGCAGTTTGACCCACACCAAGAAATCGTCCGATATTTGTTTTTTTTTATGTGAAAGAGCATATCTAATACTGTATATACAACTGCAAACTGTAAAGGGGAACAGCTTTAATTACGCATTACTCATTCATTGTGTGTTTTAAAATTAAAAGAATTGATTAAATAATATTGTTTTTTTCCCCCCAATAGCTCAAAATGATTTGCTTTTCAAATTGTTTGTTCTTACAATGATGGAACATCGCACAGCTGAAAACACAAAAAGAAAAACACTCGCTAGGGATATAAGATGATTGTAAGAATGTTGTTCTGAGTATGTTTGCAGTCTTGCCCAATATTGCTAAAATTGGACTCAATGCAGTACAGCCATCTGCTCCATTTATTAGTTTATTATTTCAGTGACAGAGATATAAAATTCTTCCACCTTTTAACATCTTAAACTTGCACTTCAGCTAATCACTGTGATGTATATCTGCTGTTCCACAATCTATGTTGTAGAGTTTGTGAGACCGCAGATTAATGGATCTTGTATCCATCTGTCAGCTTTTTTTATTTGTCTGGAATAAAATATATTAGCTCTCATTTGTGAGTGGCAAGGTGGTGTATTAGTTATTGTAGCTCAGGGTTTACCTGGGGTGCTATCTTTGTAGAGTTTGTATGTTCTCCCCCATTCGAATGGGCTTTCTCCCACAGTCCTAAGAAATATTGGTAGGTTAATTGGCTTCTGGTGTGAGTGTGTCTGCCTGAATTGGATGAAGCAGCTATTCTATATTCTTCTGATAATTATTCTATATAATTTTAATTGTTCTTATATACTGTACAAATTATTATATCTCAGTGTGTTTGTCTGGGCGTTCCCTGTGATAAACTGACATCCTGTCCAGGCTGTATCTCACTTTATATCTTGGCAATAAACTGGGTTATACTCCAGTGTCTCCTGAGACACAGTACTGGTTAAAATGGCTTGACAATAAATGGCTGGATCTCTCTGATTAACTGTTGTAGAGAAATGTAGTGGGTTGTTTTGTCGCACACATTTGGCACCTTAACGAAACATTCACCCCTTTCTGATGATGTCACATTTTGCTTAATTCCAAATTATGTCCAGCCATTTTTTAAGTGAATGTTTAAATTAAAACTGGAGTGTTTCAACAGAACAGGTGAAAGAATTTCCACATCAGCCAAAAAACTGCAAAGAAAATCTGAAATATTGTGATTGCATACAGTACCTATTCACCACCCCCCTTGCTATTTCAAGCCTAAATGACTTCAGCTGCACCAAATCACCTAGTCAATTCACACAATTAGTTGAATAGCCACAGTCTGTGTGCCATTATAGTGGTTCATGTGACTTCAGATCTAATATACTTGTGTCTGTAAGTTCCTTCTATTTCAAGCAAGATTTTTTAAAACAGCCACAAGGATAAAGTACAGAAGGCAAAGATCAGAAGACGGGTCAAATATACTGAATATCCCTTTGAGCATGGTGAAATTGATCATTCCGAAGATAATTTTGGATTTTGTTTGGAAGAGGAAGATTGATCTTACCACCCAGATGCCGCCCATTGCTTCAATGACGCCACCTTGAGGCTGATAGCAGAGATCCAACAAGTCTCTTGATCAACTCCACGTTTACTGTCAAGCAACGTGAGGCAGGTTCTCATCAGCAGGGATTTGAAAACTTCTTAAAACTGAGGGATAAAATGGAGGGATGACAATACATCCTTCAGTCTGCTTGAAGCTCGTTAACACACATGTCGTCATGTGATACTCTGATGGCCTTAAAATGCCAATAGCTTTTTGAGCCCATCTAAAGAATCATTTGAAAATGGAAGGGCCTTTATTTCAATTTAGAATGTGTTTTCTTTCAAATGTTTACATTTTTAAGTAAAAAATCAGTACCCGGAAAGATCTTGAATGGTGTTTCTGGGGCACTTTTGTTTAGATAGTTGGATATGACCCAGACAAGTGACAACAATGAAAGTTGAAAAGACAGAAGTTCAGTTACTGAGATCAGCTGAAGAATTTTGTGGCTTTGTAATGAGATCAGTCTCGCAATTTAGAGTCTGCAAAAATGCTCTGCTGATCTGACTCATGGCACACGATTAAGGGTTTTTAGCTGAGGTAAATCCAAAACCATGCAGTGTTTAGGATTGTTAACTCCCAGTGTTGGGGTGCCAGGTTGAATTCTGGACCTTAAGCTTGCATATTCTCCTCATGTTTGAGTGAGTTTCCTGTGGGCTCCCCAGTTTCCTCCTACAGTCCAAACCCTGCTGGTGGATTAATTGGCTTCTGGGGAAATTGGCCCTGGTATGAGTACAGTATGTGTGTGTTTGTGCTTGTGTCCATGTCTTCCCTGCAATGGACTGGTGCCTACAGAAGTTCTCATCTACAGTGATGCCCTAGCCAGGAAGCTCAAAACACTGCAACACAAAAAGGCAGAGCAAATTGGGGAAAAGAAAAGGTCAATTTAAAATCTAGGTAGCAGCATTAGTAATTGCAGATATCGCCAAATATAGATTGAAGCTGGGGTGGCACGGTGGTGCAGTGTGTGTGTGTGTGAGATGGCATTTAGGCTCCAGGCCACCATGACTTCATATTGGATAAGTGGTTAATGAAATTTGGACTGACTTTCAGTACTGTAATTGGTCAGTTATTAACTATTATATTATCTTCATAGATGACTAGATACCTATAGATTAATGATTGATCTCTTTAAAATCCAATTAATTGAATTGAATACAACCTGAATATCATTCGCATACAAAAATAGGTGAATTTTGCAGTTTACCCCAATAACTTCGAACACGACTTCACCGAGGAACTGCATGCATTATCAATTTAATATCTATTAAAGGGCTTTAATAAAGGTTTTTTTATGCAGGACAAACCTCCAGGCAAATTAATAATAAGCTTTGATCAACTTTTGAGAACACGTGCCTTGTTTTTAGACAGCAATGAGTTAAAGGCAGAAAGTTTGCAAGGAAAAGTTTGAAGCTGGCAAGGATAAAAAAACAAAGTCAGGTCAACAATGTGTCAAAATTGTCTAAACTCGGTCTCTGATGACAGCAGAGTTAGAAGTTGTAAGATACGTTCACTTTGATGATCACCTTTAGATGCAATTTCCCTCCCCCCAAAGCTTGAAAGAAACTGTTTAATAAGTTAGACTTCACATGGTGTTGTATGCAGCAGTATTGTTAAAACATAAGCATAGTTCTTAGAGATATATGCTTTTTCGCAGGTATTGTGTGTAAAAAATGAATGCAGACAAAATGTGAATGTTCTAAACTAATGCGTAAGAATACATTGTTGTTTAATGCAGTGTGGGAGATCCCAGAGGTCTTTGTAGCCAGAGCCTTATCAGATCTTAATCTGCCACTGTATATGTTCTCCAGACAATACCTGGAAGTAATATAAAAGGCAAACAGAATGGCAGGATATAGGCATTATATAGTTGAAAATGTAGAACTTAAATCTAGGAATGTTATGCCACAATTGGACAATGTCGTAATTAGGCCTTGTTTACAGTAAATGGTGTTTGGTCATCATGTTATAGAAATAATGCTGCTTTGGGATCAGTCCAGAGAACAGCATCCAGATGCATTCCAGGGAATAGAGGAATGCTGTGCGCTGACAGGCTGATGAAAGATGAGTCCTGAGCAGAGGAACTGAAAGAAGTAATCGGAATAGGCAGACGCATTGATGATGTCAACCCAGGATACTACTACAGATTGGCCATTGAAATACCAGCCAGGGAGTACAACTGGAAACTCCATGAAAGCACATTTAAAACCAAGGACAAAGAGACATGTCATTACACAAAGAGTGGTGGGAGTCTGGAACAAGTTACCCAGTCAGCTTCTTGAAGCTGATCCCCTGGTCTTCTTCAGTAAACAGTTGGATGAGATCATTAGATTAATTACCAAGCATGCTACTGTAGGATCTGATGTGCTAGTTCTGTTAAAAAGGAATTCACATAAATTAACTTGAGGAATTCCCTCACATCTGATCAAAGGTAGTTTGTTACAGCCTTCTACAGCAGAAATATTCTGTTTCTCGTGCTCGAGAGTGAGTAACAGAATCTGGATACCGACATTGCCAATGTGTAAATTATTAGTCCCTCAGAACTGTCCATTCATGTGTATCATTTTAATTGTCAGGATGTTAATTTCATTCTTGACAGTGGAAAGAGAGAGTAAAATTCCCAACGGTTTAGCTGTGGAGCCTTCTGTGAATACAAAACAGAAAAAGAGAAGAGAGGAACAGGAATATGGGGTGGGCGAGGAAAGTAATGGACAGCACAGGGGAGTGAGACTGGAGGTTTAGGCAAAGGGGGACAGTGGTCAGACTATCGGAGAGACACATACCCCACAAGAAGGGCTGAAATGTGTAAGCTGAAAGGATTTCACAGGATAAGTCCTGTTCCAGAATCCAGAATAAACCATGGTCAAATACAAGGGGAAAATTCCCTCCCTGTGAATTCAATTTCCCTCTGAAGTTGTGGATTGCATAGGTGTCTTTGAATTTGTGAAAGGACATGAACAGAGAGGTCAGTGGGGCCAAGAGAGGGGGAAGGTAAATATTTTTAAGCATGAATTAAGGCATTTCTGTAACACAGTGGGCACTTGTCACTGTCAGACAAAAGGGACTGTAGGAAGAGGAGCCTGTTAGAATGACAATTATTTTCTTCTTCTAGCTATTCCCCCTCCTGACAGATGGAATTCAACAGCCCGAGAACATTCCAATGGAGTTTACTGTTTCTATTAATAGGTGGGTACTAGAATTGAAATTCTCATTATGCCTCAGCAGAATGTGGCCTGATCACTACGTACTGTAGCGGATTTGGCCGTTTTACAAGAATTTTCCTCCCCAGGAGGTATCAGACTCGGTCTGTATCACAACTTACTTCATAGAGCCATTTTTATTTTCCCCAAAACACATTTATGATGAATTTTCCCCATGGGGTTTCTCATTCAAAATGTGCAATTAATCCCAGGTACCGTACGTTTTAACATTATTGTGCCGGAAGAGAAATATTTTAGTTATCCAATGACCACATCAATTAAATCAATATGAGCGACTGAACGTTGACGTGGACACAATAAAACACTAGAAAACAGCACTGGAATTGAAAATGCCTAGAACACAAATATAGAAACAAATATAGATATGATATTAATAAATTTGTCATTTAATTGCTCTGCTTATTCCATAACTGTGATACTGTAACTACCATGTTTCCATTATGTTGCTGTTATTATGTGAGCTACAATTAATTTAGCTTATGAATGATGAAAAGTATTTGTTTTTGCAATTAATTCTTATGTTAATTATCTGATACGCTACTATGCAAGTTACCACATTAGTGTGAAAATTTTATAAATTTTAAAACAAAACTCAGAACAATAAAATGAAATACCCTAAGCAGATAAAGGATGAAAAAAAAGTTTAAAAGACAATTGCTATACATTGGAGTACAGAATTTCTAGTGCCATAACTGTGCACTATGCGATACCGACATCACAGATTCATGTTGTGTCTTTATCCACTTATACCACAGGCTTGGCATTTTCGGAGCTGGCATCAGGAAAAGCCGAAGATGTGTTGCCAGCTCGCTGCAGCCTCTTTGGGAAAGAGCACATCCAGACGTTTGATGGGACGTTGTACGACTTTCCTGGGGACTGTAGTTACATGCTGGCAGGGGACTGTCAGAAGAGATCCTTCTCACTGCTAGGTGAGGTCATGTTTACACACAATGGTTACAGGGTCAGCAGTCCCTCTACACAGCAGATAAGGGTGAACTCTGAGAAAGCGCTTTACTGATCTAGCTGACCTCTTAAAATCACCTTCGTGTTTAGGTCTGGAAGAGACAAAATAATCACTAGATTCTCAAAATTGCACTTTAGTGACTGAGTCAGGAGAACAAAGTAGAACCACCATACTAGTAGGCGCATGCACCACATCCACCCATCCAATTTCTAACCGCTTTATCCAGTTACAGGGTTGCGAGGGGAGCTGGAGCCTATCCCAGCAAGCAACAGGCGCACGGCCTTATGGGATACAGCCTAGACCGGACGCCAGTCCATCCCAGGGCACACACAAGACACAGACACACTCAGACCACAGGCTATTTTTTAATAGAAGCCACTTAACATGCCAGCATGTCTTTGGACCGTTTGAGTAAACTGGAGCAGCTGGAGGAAAGCCACATAAACGTGGGGAGAACATGCAAACTCCACACAGACAGAACTCCAGGTCTGGAATTGAATCCAGTGCAGTAAAGGGGAAATGTTAATCACTGTGCCTCCATGCCACCCTTGCAGAGCTTTTATTAATTAAAAGTATGCAAGCTTACCTCAATTGCAATTCCTGCAACACATTTTTTTATACTTTCATGTGACGTCACTCTCAAAACGCATGGGACATTGCTCAGATTAACAGCAGTTTGCAACAAATGTGAGCTGTCTGTCTGTTGCATGATGTAACTGGTGAAATTCCCCTTGATGACAACCCAGATTGCAGACATCTGTCATTTCTGTTGCCAGGGGCCGACTGATGTTACAAGGGTCTACAATCCTTAATAAAATAATCAGCTGACAGACTACATTAAAGTTCTGGAGTGACAATTCTTGAAATGTTCATTACAAAGGCCACTGACCATCAAAGTTGATGCCTCAGAGAATTGATTTCTCATTTCCCAAAGGCACAAGCATGCTGTACTTCTTACTTTCAAACTAATCGTGTCTGTCTGTGACTTGTTACAAAAAAATGACTGAGCATTTTTAAACATTTTTCTGCCCTTCCTTTCCTCTCATTTGCCACACAGTCCTTCCTAACTGCAAATAACCCATTTTTCTTTCTTATGGGTAATGGAAACAAAGCAAGTCAGCACTTCAGACAGGACAGGAAGTCAGTTTCAGTCCATTAGTAGGGCCATCAAGAACACTTCCTAGTGTAAATAAACCCCAACGCCTGTTTCCACCAAAGCCCCACAAATTAGGCTGGAGATACACATGTAACAAAGGGTGTTACAAGACTCACAAGACGATAGAGTCAGAAATGTTGGAAACCGCTTGCGTTTTGGATTTCTTATCTTAGCCTACCGTTTTATTTGAACAGGCAGGAACTCAACAGCTTAGGGAGGCAAAGGTCACAAAGCCATTTTTATGAAGCAAAATGTAGCCAAATACCAGTGGAAAACAATGCAGGAGAACACACATTAGGTGATGTTGACATGGATGATAAAGATGATCCTGATATCTGTTAAAAGAACACCTTAAAAGGTATGAAAATGGAATGAAGTGAAAACATGTGATAATTTATTTTGTTTTTGCTGCTGAATTTGTGAAAAGAGCTACAGATTTGTAACCTAGTTTATCTTTAATTTAAGCCATAAACCAGGCGTCTCTGTAAGAACGTCCAGAGGTATTTCTAAATGTTTGAGGGGACATCATACCAGACCGAAATTGACTCTTTTTCAAGAGATGAGAAAGTGTTACTGTATATCTTCAGGAATGGAAAGTAGTTTTTTTAAAGTAGGGAAATCTTTAGCAGGGTTTCATAACCAAGGCAGGACGCTGCCTCGCTGTGCTGGGGCCCTGGGTTCAGTTTCAGACCTGAGGTGCTGTCTGTGTGGAGTTTGCATGTTCTCCCCATGTTCATGTGGTTTTCCTTCACATGCTCCGGTTCTCTCCCACAGCCCAAAGACATACTGGCAGGTTAATTTGCTTCTCGGAAAACTGGCCCTGGTGTGAGTGAGTGTGTTTGTGTCTGTCTCTGCCCTGTGATGAACTGGCATCCTATCCAAGGTGTATCCTGCCTTGTGCCCGTTGCATGCTGGGACAGGCTTCAGCACCCCCAAGACCCTGAATTGGGTGGGTTTAGTGACTGTGGCTCTGTGGGTGAATCATACAGCCTTGAGTTTCTTCCTGTGCAGGTGATTACCATAATGGACAGCGAAAAGGCGTGACGGTTTTCCTCGGTGAATTCTTCGAACTTCACCTCTCTTTGGAGGGAGCAGTGACTCAAGGAGAAACCAGGTAGCACAGTCTTTCTATGACTTGGTCCTCTTGTCACAAAGGCACATGGATAGAACAGAAATGATAATTTCTTTGCTTTGATGTCTCTGTCTTTTTCTTTCTCAGCTTTCCTACATTTAAGAGTGAGGCACTTTAAAGTACTTTTAAAGTGAGGAGGCTTGTGTTATAGTGTGTAGGCTGGGGATGAGTGGAGCCCTGAATATGCTGATAGCCTGAACAGCTGAATGTCTTTTTATCTGAACATCTAGAACTACATGCTATCTGTTTCGTTGCTGAGTGTAAAACAAAACATAACCAATAACCTTGTGAATAGTTTGGTACATATACTGTACGTGAACTCGTTGTATTTATGCACTAGATGTATTTAAAGATTTAAACAACTGTTTTTTATTGGGGGGGGCTTTAAACAGGCTTTTTTTGTCATTTATTGTCAAGCCTTTATCTTTACTGTTTTGGGTTACAACAGGGTCTATGATCAGTCATGACCTGCAAAGGTAGCTCAAGTAGCAAAGTTCTGGAAGATGTCATGAAACCCTTAACATGCTTATCCATTCAGTATGTGTTTGAGCATAACTGCCTGGTCGACACCATTGTTGGGTGGGCTAGGACCTCACTAGGTTACTACATACAGTACAAGGGTTTAAAAGTACAGTAATGGCTTCATATTGGGGAACGCATACAATAGAGAGGACAGGTCCTCACTCCCCTTGTGCTAGTGCAAAAGACGATTAACAGTTGTAAAGAGCGAACCACGAGGGTATAAACGAGGTCACTTCCATTTTTTCATTACGCATACGGTACTCAACACTCTTAGTTCTGCCCAGCGTTGCCTGACTCCTGATGTCTGTGTGTTTGTGCCAATTAACTAGGCTCTCACTACCTTATGCCTCTAATGGGGTTTTTGTGGAGTTGGAGCTGGGTTACTACAAGCTATGGAGTGAAGAGTATGGCTTTGTGGTGAGGATCGACAGTACTGGCAACATCAATGTGGTCCTCTCCGAAGAGCATTTTAACAACACCTGTGGACTGTGTGGCACCTTCAACGGCATACCTGCTGATGACTACATGGCGCAGGAAGGTGAGGCTTACTTTCCTTGTTCTGGGTCTTACCTTTCTCCTCAGTCTACTGAGGTCCAGCTGTGCTCTCCTCTCCCACAGCACCAACAATTAAACAGTCAACAGGCTATTAGTAGCTGAGAGGTTGTAAGAAAGAAAACTACTGGGGTGCAATTCGCAAAGCAAGTTCATCTTTTCATCACCTTTGGTCAGAGGGAAAAAATACCTAAAAAAAACACTCTTTATGTGCACACATATATGCTGAGAACTGTGTACAGTGCCTGTTCTGTACAATGTGCAGAATGAAAGTGGAAAATAATAAGAATCTTTACCCTTATACAGTACAGTGCTCTTCTGCACACTCCACTCAAAGCTCATTACAAGTAATGGGGAATCCTACCACCACCACCAATGTGCAGCCCCACCTGGATGATGTGACGGCAGCCATAGTGCACCAGTACATTTCCCACACATCAGCTGTCAGTGGGGAGGAGAGCATAGTGATAGAGCCAGTTCAGAGATGAGGAGGCCATGATTGATATCAAGTTCAAGCAGAGATCTGGCCAGGATAACAGGCTTAACACCCTTACTCTATTGGAGTAATAGGCATTATAATGCCTATAATTGGGTATTAGAACCCACACGGACCACAGGATGGGTGCCACCTACTGGTCCAATTGACACCTGAAAGAAGCCACTGGAAGAAAGCAGTTCCATTTTGAGTGTGGAATCTGCACAGCACACACAAACGAGCTCAAAGAGGTTAATTAGCAAGAAAAGGGTTTTGCTTTTTCTTTCCGTGTCCGGTTTGTTATTTGAAGGCAAGCTGCCACGGCCATTAAAGCGATTTGCGGGTGTCTGTTCTGTGCCGAAGGATTCTTAACGGACAGTAGCTACGACTTCGCCAACTCCTGGGCCCTGCATGGGGCCGGAGAGCCCTGCCGAAGAGTTTCCCCTCCCAGTCAGACCTGCAACGTGTCCAGCGAGGCTGCAGGGGTAAGTGTGCCACATACCGACGGCTATGATGTCCAAAGTATTGTAGGCTTGGGCACAAACAATATGAGAGCCAAGCTCTGACTGAATTAAAAATTTTTTTTTCCTCAGAACTGTCACAGAGGACAATTTGCAGCCTACGCATGCTGATGCAGCTACCCACCTGAACTACTACCGCAATAAGATTACGTTGAGGGGGCACCTTAAACTAAAAAAAAAACTTTTAAAAAAGTGAAAATAAACAGGACAGTGATCATTGTCTCACAATGCAAAAAAAACTTCACTAGTATTCTTCGAGCTGCAGGCTTGTATGCATTTGGGAAATTTTAACCCCTTTATCCAACAATCTCAAGATGTACCAAACATGCGCAGCAAAGAAGGTCAAAGTATTCTGATGCAACTCAGTACAGTAACCCATTTTCATGGCTCTTAATGTAAAAGAAAAGGTTACTGTGGTGCTGGTTTCCCCCTTTTCATTGTGCATTGCTTTTTCCTAATCCACCTGCTCTTCCGTGTTGCAGGAGCTGATGTCACGGTGCGGTGCCCTGCGGAATTCTCCGGTGTTCCTGCGGTGCGCCCACGTCATCGATCCCGAGCCCTTTGCCTCTCTCTGCGAGCAGGACGTGTGCCACTGCGGGAGTAACGCGGAGTGCCAGTGCCAGGCTTTCCTGGAGTACAGCAGGAGCTGCGCCTTCAAGGGCGTGATTCTTCAGGGCTGGCAGAGAGAAAGCCAGTGTGGTGAGAATACGTAGCTACCCTTGCAGACACACTGGGTGATGCCAGTGTCAACCAGTCTCTTTCCTGAAGAGCAGGTTTTAAAATTCACTTTTCAGTCATCAAATATCAAATCATAGGCTGTACCCACTTTTGACCAGTTTACAACCTATACACATAACTTATTAAGACAGTTTTGCTCCTTGGAGACTGAAGGATGTTTGTGTTCTTTGACCTCTAAACTATTTCATTAGACATCCAAAGTGCTTAAGTGGCTTTAGTTCCACCGGTGAGTTTATACTGTATATTACAGTACATGTAAAACCTGATGTGACTGTCCAGCACCAGGATTGGATACCCTCAGACTAGGCCGACACTATTCATCCACAATGAAAAAAATAGGAACAGTTTGGGTGTCAGGAGGTACATCTAAGCCCATTTAAACCCACAATGTCCTCCAAGCTTAGGTCTAGTCTTGACAGAGGTCCAGTGTTAGACCAAAAGGAACTGAACTCTAGACCTTCAACTGCAGTAAATTAAGTGATAGAGAACTCCCTTGGAAAGCAAAAAAAAAACATGAGTAGACCCCCTCCCTTCCTTCCTCCCGAGAAGTGAGACGTACGTCCACCCCCAAATAACACAAAAGAACACAGATTAACAACTTGGACCGAAGGCAAGGTGCACCAGTTCAGAGATCAAATGGAAAGCCATTAAGCCTTATGCTGAGAATGGTTCTCCTTCAGAAACCTTATAAAAGAAGAAAAGACTGTCATGCTGTAAAATATGGAAATAATCAACGTGGTAATGCATTAGCCACATCTATCTTTCTGGTTCTCTTCCTTTTCTGATACTGTAGATAACTTTGTTAAACCACAACTCAGCAGCAGGTACATGTATACATTTCCACGCATAGGATTTGCATAAGTGTATAACATACCTATTGCTTCAAAGTACTGTATACATGTTCAACAAAGCTATCGGAGGAATCATTGGGAATAATTGTAGTTTAACACAATATTGTAAAACACAATAAATGTTATGTTTAACTAAGGTGAATGGTAAGTTCTGTTAGAGACATGGTAAGATTGTTAGAGATAGTTACAGGTACATGGCCCGTGCTGAAGTTCTGCAGTTTTTGACTCTGCTGTGATACTGACTGCTACAAGCGATTCTAGCTGCTGCATTAAAGATCCATCAAGTATAATCTGTTTCCAGTATATATTTCTTTCCTGATAGGTGACTATTGCAGCTGTCAATCAAAGTATATTTTTTTACTTCTTCAAAGCCCTCTAGCAAGTCGACTACAGGCCTTTAGGCTCTGGGAATCTACTGTATGTTCTGCTGTACAGGCCTAATAGGCACGCCCAATCCCTTGTCTTTCAGCTCCCACGTGTCCCCTCGGCATGGTGTACAGTGACTGCACGAGCCCCTGTGCCATTCACACCTGCCAAGGCCTGAACATCAATGAGGTGTGCCAGGAGGAGTGTGTGGATGGCTGTACCTGCCCCCGTGAGTGTCTGGCCTGTCGCCCACCGGCTGCGTTTCAAACAACCAGTTTGAGAGGGAGCTCATATTTCATCCCCCCCAAACAATGACATCTGTGAAGCAAAAACAAAAACCATTTTCTAACACGAAATATCTTTGTTGACAAAATTGGAGAATTTTCTTTTCGCATTTTGTGAGGGAAATGTGCAGTAAGCTTTAGACCAAGGCCTATCTGTTCTGAGAGCATAAGACAGGTTACAAACGAGAGGAGGACGAAGTAGTTTGTTTGGCAGTTAGTAGCGAATGGATCCGAGGTTCTTGTGTAGTCGTTTCTTGAAAGAAATCAGGGTATCGGTTCCACACTCTCACCACTTTTTATCTTACTTTAGAGTACTGGGTGATGTTTTGTGGCTTCACAACACTCTGTGTCGAGAATGCGCATGAAAGTGAGGTCGCTTGGACGTTCTAATGTGTCAATATCTTTCCGACAGTGGGGAAAGTTCTAGATGAAGACAGCTGTGTCCGCAACAGCAAGGGCTACCTGTTATGAGAACATAAGATGGGTTATAAATGAGAGGAAGAAGAATCTAATTTGTTTGGTAGTTATCTGGGAATGGATCCGAGGTTCGTGTGTAGCAGTTTCTTGAAAGAAATCAGGGTATCAGCTGCAACGAGGTGGTTGGGTTGCTTGTTCCCCATTCCCACCACTGTTTATCTTACTTTAGCGTGCTGAGTGATGACGTGTGGCTTCACAGCACTCCGTGTTGAGAAGACATGTGAAGGAGGGGCCACTGTTAATATGTCTGTATCTGTCTGACAGCGGGGAAGGTTCTGGATGGAGACAGCTGTGTGGAGGCCTCTCGATGCACCTGTGTCCACACCAGCAAGCGCTACCCACCAGGCTCCAGCATTGCACAAGACTGCAACACCTGGTCAGTGCCAGTTCTCCCAACAGAGTCTCAAGTCCTCCTATTGTAAACACCCCAGTCGTATCAGAATACCTGAGGCTCCTTCACACCAGCAGTGTTTTAGGTTTCAAGTTAGGTTTACTGTGGTAAATGTGGTAGTTTGGGAATCTTCCCTTGATTTTATTATGCTAATATTTCTTGCAGTTTGAATTATGCCACATTGTCCTATGCTACGCTCCTGTACATGCTTACCATGATATTACTGTGCTTTTTAAACTTAACTCTGCTTTGATCTTTCTATACCACTGAAAAAGTAATCCAGAAACTGTAGATACACTTGATGAGCTGTCAAATGGAAACACGCATTACTAACTGCCTAACATACACTTCATCTAATGAATTTATGATTATACAGTATGATAAATGAGGTTATTACGGAAAATGTTGTAGCTGACTTAATGAGAGCTGTAAACTTTTTATTGTAGAGAAACTTAGAAGGGTCAAATGATTATTCTTGAAGGTTATTTTGTATCCATCTGTGACTTTAAGAGTCAAATCTGTAGACAGATAAGAGATCATAACCATTTAAAAAAGTTGTACTGCGTACCCTTTTGTGGCACAGAGCAGAACCTTTTCACAGTACACAGTGAGAAACCAGAGCTGAGAAACACATAGCTCTAGTATCATAAGACGTCTGTTGCTGGCATTCATGGCTTTCTGGTACCCTTGCAGGGGAAACACCTTTGCTAATCATGGGACTGTACCTCATCTCTGTAGATATGGTCTGAGATCAGCAAAGAACTATTAATCCAGTCAACCCTTTAGGAGTGAAGACTTTTCTTTTCAGAAAAATACAGTGAAGGTGGGCTGGTTAGCTTTGCTGGCTTGCAGCTCTGGGTTCAATTCCTGTGCTGCTATCTGCATGGAATTGATAGATTCTTCTCTGTTTTCACAGGGGTTTCCTCTGTTTGCTCTGGTTTCCTCCCACAGTCCAAAGACATGCTGATAGTTTAATTAGCTGCTGTAAAATTGGCCGACAGGAGAGTGCGTGCATGTTTATGTCTCTATATCTGCAATGGACTGCCTCCCTACTAGGTAAAACAGTTAGAAGATGAATGGATGGATGAATATGCAATGACTAGGCTTTAATGTGATAATTTCCTTCTTTTTATATGAATCAGCATTTTCCTTCTGCTGATTTTAGGATCTCTTTCAATAAAATGAACAGGTGGCGAGAGCTGCAGAATAATCATAAAGTCTGTCAGTTCCCTGTAGTGCATGCTGGCAACCTCAGAACCTGGACATGTGAGATGTGTTTCACCTCTCTAAGTAAATCCCTTATTTTTTGGAGTCATGACCTTTATTCTAGCAAGACTCCTCAGCAGTAATTAATGTGCAAACCATAACTTGCCCGTCTGTTCGTTTTTTACAGTGTTTGCAGACATGGCTTGTGGGAATGCTCGAATGAGGACTGCCCTGGTGAGTATTCATGATTAAATCTGCCACGATGGTTTAGCATTGCTTTAACAACGCTAAACGTTTCTAGCTGCCATTCCACTTTCACATCGGTATACAGCCAGGCACAGTTTGCAACATCTAGCAACATCTCAGGTGAGAGGGGACTTTAACCAGCAGCCATATCACCCTGCAACACACAACTGGCAGCCCCACTAAAGCTCAGCAGGTGTGATAGCCTGGTCAGTACCTGGATGGGAGACCTCTGGGAAAGACTAAAGTTGCTGCTGGAAGAGGTGTTAGTGGGACCAGTAGGGGCACTCACCCTGCGGTCTGTTTGGGTCCTAATGCCCCAGTATAGTGACGGGGACACTAGACTGTAAAAAGGTGCCGTCCTTCGAATGGGACATAAAACCATTTGACCATCCTTGACAAATTTCCCCCCTGGCATTTACCCATCATGGCCTCCTAATAATCCCCATCTCTAAACTGGCTTCATCATTCTGCTCTCCTCCCCACTGAGAGTTGATTTGGGGAGAGTTGCACTATGGCTGCTGTCACATCATCCAGGTGGGACTGCACACTGGTGGTGGTGGAGGGGATCCCCATTACCTGTAAAGCTCTTTGAGTGGAGTGTCCAGAAAAGCTCTATATAAGTGTAAGGAATCTCGAACTACTTTACAAAGAAACATCCTTTGTGATACTTAAAGCACTTTACACTTTAGTTTACTATGTTCACTAGGGGTACAGTTATGATTCGTTTAGAATTTACAATGCTCATGCATCAATCTCATTTAAAAATAAACTGAATAAATAAACAATATTATAATCATCAGGGTTAAAGAACTAAATGATACAGTATGAATCGAACTTATAGGCAGAACTCTGTGTTAAGGATTGAAAATGTGAGAGCATGATAGTCACTGGAACCTTTTCTTGTTTTCTTAATATTGTCTTATCTTTTCCTAATCACATGCAATCACCAGCCACACAGAGCTCTGCCATTTTGGTTTTTACACAGCAGAAACGCTTACTGCTGAAACATGAGCTGATGAGAATCACCCACTCTTTCCTGGCTACATCTCACCGTTTTATGAAAAAAAAAATCTAAGTTCAATTTCATTTCCACTGGAAAGACCTTTACCTACAATATAAAAATGTAGTTTTGTTGCTTTCTCAGAGACTTTTGTCAGTTTGTCACCTCGAAAACACCTACTGTGTATCTGCAAGACTTGATTTCATTTTCCAAACATAAACCCTCCTTCACTTTCATATGCATAAGAACATAAACGGAAATAATTAACTTTTCAGATGGACTGTAGACATGACGCAAAGCCCCCCTAGAATGCAATTTAATTTGAAATAAATTATTCTAATTCTGGGTGAGCCATTAACAAGCCAAGCAATGCCGCCTTCTGCCATCTGTGCATCTCATTTTCCTGTGTCGTCTGCTTCTTCATACTCCTTCCATGAGCTCCTTCCTGACACTTGTTTGCTATATTTTTAATAATCTTAAGCAACAAAAGACTAGAGTATTCGCAGCCTCCTATTTAAACATTCTGAAAAATCTACCTTTGGGATTTTTGCTATTTGGACTCTTTTCGACAGATGCAGAGGTAAAGGAAAAGTCAATATTCTCTAAAATTTCAAATGCTTGTAGTAGATTGGTGCGGTTCTTTCTAAGGGAGAAAATGTGCAGCCAAAGACAAGACACAGATTTATAAATTTTACATTTACATTATCACCTGGAAGCCATTTTAAAACTTCCAAGTAAAACTGAAGCACTGGTCAGTTACAGTGGCTTTGTCACAGAGGATGTCAATGTGGTCCCAACAAAACAGCTCACCGCCACATATAGAAAGCAACATTTTCCTTTGTCAGAAACTCCGTGTTTTGTTTTATTTTTATGTGTTTGACATTCAATCCATTTTGATGCCAGTTTCCTTTACTCTGATCTGTAGGACCTCTGTGGAAATCGGATGTCTGTAGGCCATGAGTGGGCTTTATTTATTTTCAGATGTTTCTAGGACGCTGATAGAATAATGCATTTGAAAGAAGAGGCACCTGCCCACTTAGCTTTCCGGAATGTTTACCTCATGGTCTAAAAAAAACATGTTTACCCATGCTCTAGCAGAGTAACTTCCCAGCACAGATACACCTTTGACATGAGCAAGGAAATAACTGCGAAAAACTTTGCTTCCAGTCTTTCCTGTTGTATCATGCAGTGCTCAAAGACTCCCATACTAGCAGAGAGTATTTGTCAACCATGTTGCAGGGGTTTGTCAGATCTGAAGGCCTTGCTGCTGTCAGATCATTTGGAGTGTGTCTTTTATCCAAGCTTGCCAATATGCTTACTGTGTAAGAAGCCAAGATCAAATGTGCTTTTTTTGCCTGCCAAGTTCCATTGTCGAGAAGGACTTCTACTGTAACTCCATGAGGGGGCCATATTTTTATAGGGTGGGGTCTATTGTACTTTCCTAAATAATGCTCTTCATTTGCACTTTACCTGAGGAAAAATATTTTTTCTCTCTACTGTCTGCCCCCTAAGTTCAGCTCTGTATCTAGTTTGCTTACCTATTATATAATTCAATTCACTGCTCCTTATGCATGTAGTTATGTGGCAGGAGCTGAACTGCAGGACAGGCTCAGTGACTGTTTGAACAAGCAGTGAGAGCACAGCAAAGCTTCTGTAATTTCATGCCAGATCAGAAGCTGAGCTCTGCAGCCCAGATGCCCTTAATATAGAGCAGAGCAATCCCTAGGCCTGCTACAGTATAACATTATTCTCTGACATTGAATTTGGTCTAATATACCTAGGTACAGTATATTGTGCTGTTTAAAAATTACTTTTTGTAAAAAAACAAAAACTCCCACGAATTGTCATACAGAATAATGTAGTGATGGCATGGGTGGATTTTTAAGCATAAAGCTTAATAATGTCACTAATAATGTCATTTTCAAGACAAACTCATGCTTAAATAAATTTGATGATAAATAATAACTAAATTCCTAAAATTAAAAACTAAAAAGGTTTCTGCAGTTTTGATCTGTGGCTCCATATGTCATCATGATATGTTTAGAAGTGCTATAATTTCTAAAAAGTAAGTAAAAAGAGAACAACAAATACGTCTCCTTGTTTGCTCAACAGGTGCTTGCATTCTGCAGCAGTGGTGGTGAATTTTTAACACACAGTTCTGAAACCAGTTTTAGAAACAGGCCAAAATGGGTCTATTCAGTGGTTTGGTTAAATCCTATTAGATGCGAGAGAGAAATAAGACAGGCAGAGTGTATATGCCATAGCTTGACTGACTGCAGGAATTGCAGCCTTACCATTAGGACAACATTGCTGAGACCCCACTCTGTGTTGTGAGGAATGAGCTAGGGAGCTGCTGCAAGGGCGTAGGTGGCAGAAGGGGTATGAGAGAGATGAACTATGGGACATCCTGGGTTACAATGCTTGGGGTGGTGCAGTGGTTCTGTGGCTATGGATCTGCGCCTGTGGCTGGAAGGTTGCCGGTTCGTGTCCCGTGACCAGCAGAGGAATCCTACTCCGTTGGGCCCCTGAGCAAGACCCTTCACCCCAACTGGGCGCTGTATAAATGGCTGACCCAGCGCTCTGACCCCCAGCTTCTCTCCCTCTCTGTCTCATGGAGAGCAAGTTGGGGTATGCAAAAAGACAAATTCCTCATACAAGAAATTGTAAAGAAAAGTGATCTTATCTTACATTGGATTATAGGATCCAACTTTCCTCCTGAATTTCTTTCAATTTTTTTGTAATTCCATTACGTCCTTTCTTTTGAAACCAAGCTGGACTGAAGTCTTGTCTTTTCTGCCAAAAATGAGTCATTCCTCTGTACGAGCCAGACCTGAGTTCCTTTTTCGTGCTGTTCTCCTCAGGGGAGTGCTTTGTCACCGGACAGTCTCACTTCAAAAGCTTTGACAACAAGTTCTTCACCTTCAGCGGGACCTGCCAATACTTGTTTGCTAAAGACTGCCAAAGCAACCTCTTTTCTGCTGTCATCGAAACTGTTCAGGTAAGGGATTGATAACTGGACAGTACAGAATCTGGCAATGGAATCATCTGGCTGAAACTTTGATGAAAAAAGAGATAGAGACAAAGTTGTTTTGCATTGTACTGTATGTAGTAACTCATGTCTTAGAGTTGTGTTTTAATGATGCAGCCTTTGCTTTGCAATGCAATCTCTTCATTTTCGAACTTTGTCACTTAAGCTGTGTGTTGTAGGACGCCCTTTTGGTTTAAAGGGAGGAGTGGGCTGGTCACGCACTGATGTATGGTTTCTTGTCTAGTGTGCAGATGACCAAGATGCTGTGTGCACAAGGTCGGCCACGTTACGTTTCCATGAAATGGCCAACATGACCATTAAAATGAAGCATGGAGGTGTGGTGTCTGTGGATGGAATGGACATTCAAACTCCTTTAGCACAAGGTTTGTGACACCTGCTGAGTATAAAACATGTTACCCAATTCAAAGCCCGTCTTCCTTCATAATATACTTGGTTTCACTTTTGAACACCCGCTTGAACTTGACAATGCTAAATTGATGCATTGATTCATTCCCTTTGTCTTACTTGCTTTCCATAAAATAGATTTTTCCCATAATCATTTACAATACATCCATCGAATGTATTAAATTACCAATAATATAGAACAGCATATACGAGTATCACACTTAAATTTGATTACCTTTAATAAAAAGAAACAATAATTAATTTGAGTAGGGAGCTGCGTCAGCATGCATAGGCAGCAAAGGAACAAGTGAAGCTTTATTCAATGCTGGAAACAGAAGAAAAAGCTGTCCTTACTTGTGTGCCTTCTGAGATCAAGCGAGATCTGGCTCGCTGCTGCTATCTCTTTAACATTAACTTATTTTCACAGGACCCCTCCGCATTCAAAAAACCGTCATGTCTTCAGTGAGACTCGCATACAATGACGACTTCCAGGTGGACTGGGATGGACGAGGCAAACTCCTGCTTAAGGTGGCTGTCCTTACTTGTACAGTATATTTCACCCATACAGGGCTGGGTTGAGGTATCAAGTCTGCCAAATATGGCAGCATAAAAACTGTTCAGGTAACAGATTGATAACTGCAGTGCAAAATATGGCAATGGGATCACCTGGCCGACGGTTGAAGAGAGACAGAGACAGAGTAGTTTCTGCTTAAGGTGGGTGTCCTTGTATATTTCACTCACATAGGGCTGGGGTGAGGTATAAAGTCTGTCCAATATGGATGCATAAAAACTATCCAGGTAACAGATTGAAAACTGGGTTGTGCAGAATCTGGCAATGGGATCACCTGGCTGAAAGCTGAGACTAAAGAGACTAAGTTGTTGCTGTTTTGTGTGGTATGCAGTAACTCACATCTGAGAATTGAGTTTAATGCCGCAGCCTTAATTTTGCAGTGCAAGTTCTTTATTTTCGAACCTGACCAGATGAACTTTGGTTTGAGGACAGGAGTGGACCTGAAACCCGGCCCTGTTGTAGGTAACAAGATGGCTAACCACGTGTGATTCCTGTCCCACAGCTGGGACCCGTGTTTGCGGGAAAAACCTGCGGCCTGTGTGGGAACTACAACGGGAACCAGGGCGACGATTTCATGACGGCAGCGGGGCTGGAGGAGACCCAAGTGGAGGATTTCGGCAACGCCTGGAAGCTGAACGGGGACTGCAGGAACATGGTGAAGCAGGACGCCGATCCCTGCATTCTCAATCCCAAAAGAGGTGCGTGAGCCAGCTTGCACTTCAACCTCGGCCCGGTGCAGACGTTGAGGAAATCAGTCAGATGTATACTGGAATCACGTTTCCTCTGGAGACCTGTGGAACAATGCTGTTGAGCTGTTGAGTCTGTTTTGGTTGAGCCCATTCATTCCTTTTCCTTGCCATGGTTCTGTCTTCATCTCCTCAAATGTCCTTCTTCCGTTCCTAACAAGCACAGCCCCCTCACGCACATTTTCAAGGCGAACTGAAAAACAAGAACAGCCTTGGCACACGTTGTTTACATTCCTGATCAATGCGTTGCCGTTACCCAACTACCCCCCCCCCCTCTTCCCTCCCAGTCTTGCTCATTGTTCCTCTTTCCCTTTCGTCAGTGCGCTACGCGGAGGAGTCCTGCTCTGTGCTCCTGTCCGCAAAGTTTGAGCCCTGCCACTACGAGGTGAACCCGGCCCCCTTCGTGAAAAACTGCCGCTATGACGTCTGCTCCTGCTCCGACGGGAAGGAGTGCCTGTGCTCGGCCGTCTCCAGCTACGCCACGGCCTGTGCCCGCAAGGGAGTCGTCATCAACTGGAGGAGCGCCAAGTTCTGCGGTAAGGGCCGCAGGGCAAAATGGGGCACAAAGGAGGTGCGGTCCAAGCTGTGATAATGAACCTGGTTTTCATAGTATCTGAAGTATTTAACATGTAGCACCATCATCGGAGAAAGGCCCGTTTTCCACATCGCAAAAAGTCAACAGCAGTAAAGTAACAAACTACCAAACTTTGTATCCAGAGAATTAAAATCACTCAAAACAGTCAATTGATTACTCAAGGAATTATTTACATATACTGTACAGTTACAATATCTCATCAACAGAAAAGTGATAGGCAATGTCGAGTGTTGACGGAAATAGGGTGTAGACACGGTAGATTGTGAGATATCTTGAGATACATTTTCCAAAAGCAAGAGAATCAACTGTGGCCAGTGGTATGATGTTTTGTCTAAGAAACTCAGAATCAGCTATAGACAGAAAATTTCCAGACCTTTAAAACGGTTCCTGCTTCTACAGCTTATCATTCAGTGTTCAAACGTCACACATTAAGAAGGTGTTGTCCTTCAATCTCTTCTCATCACTCAAAGTTGGCCACAGAAACACTGGTTGTGTAGACTTTCTTAAACTACCTGAAACATCAGAGGAATTTCTCTAGGAAGGCATGGTAAATTGGACATGCATTAGTCCAAAGAGTATGTTTTTGTATTACCAGTTGAATTTTTCCCACTTGTAGTTCCCTCCAGACAGCTTTCCTTGGCAGCAGAAGGCATTCTTTGATCCTTTCTGTGTTGTCAAATCAATGTTTGTCCATCATATAGGAAGAAATTCCTATAATCCCCAGGCTGGTACTTGTCAAAGTACAACAGCTGTCTAACTGATTTCCCTGAATTGATTATTTTGCTAAGGGAAACTTCAATTATAAATGATAATTTACATCATCATAGCAGTGATCAGCTTTTTGAATTTATGTACTGTTCCATCATATAAATACTCCATACTGTTTTACTGATACATTTCTGATGCATGGAAGTGCATATGTATTGTATCATTACCACATCTGAAATCTTATTCTGTTTCTTTTAAAAAACCAAGTCTTCCTGAGTTATTTAAATAATGAATTTGATGAAAACGGTCAATTGATGACATTTTAATAAGTGATTTCCATAAGATTAGTAATTGACATTAGTCTCTTAACTACATTGCACTGATCTAGGCTATAAGGCATGTTAACAGGCTCTATTTAAAGAGTGGGTAGCTGCGTCAGCATGCGTAGGCTGCAAAGGAACAAGTAATAGGTTTATTCCATGCTGAAAAAAAGAAGAAAGAGAACACAACGTTTCGGCCGTGGAGCCTTCTTCAGGTGTGACCTGAAGAAGACACCTGAAGAAGGCTCCACGGCCGAAACGTTGTGTTCTCTTTCTTCTTTTTTTCAGCATGGAATAAACCTATTACTTGTTCTATTTAAAGAGTACTAAAGCATGGTTAGCTGGACTAAAGCACAGTTTAGTAAAGCACAGTGAAAGACCAGTTAAAGAAAAAAGTAATAAAAAAATGAGATCAAATGAATACCATAATCCATCCATAACTGCTTAATGTAATTCAGGGTTGTGGGGGACCCAGTTCCTATCCCAGCAAGCAACAGGCATAAGGCAGGCTACTCCCTGGACGGGACACTAGTCCATCACAGGACACACACAGGCACACACACACACATAACAGGGACAGTTTTCCCAGAAGCCAATTAACCTACCAGTATGTGCCTGAACTCTGGGTGGAAACCCAAACAAACAGAAGGAGAACATACAAGCTCCACACAGACAGCACTCTGGGTCCAGAATTGAACCCAGGACCTCGATACTGCAATGCAACCACTAACCACTGTGCTGCCCAAACACTTGAATATAAGAGTGTAATGTCTTAGTCACAGATGCTGCTGTTCCTTTCTAAATGGGAGTTTTGCTACAGTTTGTTTGTGAATGCGCACGAGAGTGAGATAAGGCTGGTTGTGCCCAGATATGAGCTGCCCGGAGGACCAGGTGTACGAGCAGTGTGGGAGCCCCTGTAACCAGACCTGTCGCTCGTTGTCGCTGCCTGACACCGACTGCCGGGACCTGTGTATGGAGGGCTGCTTCTGCCCCCAGGGGCTCTACGTGACCGACACTGGGGAGTGTGTGGACAAGACCCAGTGCTCCTGCTACCACGATGGAGAGATCTACCAGCCCAACGACATCTTCTCTGATCACTCCACTATCTGGTGAGCCTTGCAGGAAATACCCGACTTTGTCTGGGCAACTTTCAGAGATCTGCTCCTGATAGAAAAGTAAGGTCTCGAGGAGACAGGTTATGGATTCTTACAAACGAATATACATTTCAGCCTTACTGTATATTCCTTCCTTTTGCATTTGCAACATAGTGTAGTCTCATCAACCTGGGAGAGAGAAGGCTTTTGTCATAACCAAACAATCTGGTTTGATTTTTTACATTAAAAGGGCGTTCTGCACAGTCTCTCATCTCCACCAGCTACGTCCGAAACGGATACTATTCTACAATACACCAGGGATCTCCAACTCTGGTCCTGTGGAGGCTCCAATCCAATAGGTTTTATAGGACTCCATCACATCACCAGTTTCTAAAGATATGGAACAATTCCACTGCAATCAAACACACAGCTGATTTGTTCATGTTCAGTTATTTAGAGATAGTTCAGGTCTTATGCTTGCCCTGACTACGGTTCACATATTTGAACAGATGACTTACCTTAGTACCTTAGAGGTGGTATCAGTCTTTAGAAACATGTGACTAAACTGGACCAGGGCTCCCCAGAACCAGGGTCACAGACCCCTGTACTAACTGGACCTGCGCTCTCTAGAACCAGGGTCAGAGACCCCTGTACTAACTGGACCAGGGATCTCAAGAACCAGGGTCAGACACACATGTACTAATTGGACCTGGTCTCTCCAGGACCAAGGTTGGAGACACTTGTTCTATAACTTTTACTTTAATGTTATCCAGGGCTGCTATTTGGTCTCTCTCTGTTGTAACTAACCCTGAATTTCTGACTCATCAGTTACTGTGAGGATGGCGCGATGCGCTGCAGCTCCAATGAAGTCCCAGGAGCTATGCTCTCGGATCTGTTATTCAATGACCTGGTACACCCCAGAGGTAAGACCACGGTACAGGCAGCATGGCAGCTAAATTGATAAAAGTTTTAAAAGACTTTAAGCAACATCATGGAAAACATGAAATTTAAAACCGAGATTGGTATCATCAAGTAAACCCTTTCCTAGCTGAACCATTGGGGGAAAAAAAAGACAGAAAACGTGTGTTGCTCAAGCGTGAAACTTTTGTGACCACTTTGAGGCCTTAAAGAGCTGGTTGAACACTAAAGTGTCCGTAGATCTCAGATCTGAAAAGTTATGGGGGATTTTCCAAGGATCCAAGTTGATTCCAAAAACCAGCTAGAATCAGGAGCGAACTTTGGAATCCCCGGCTCCCTAAATAAGGGAAGAGGTGTTTTAAAGTAAGGTAGTGCAATGTGTCTCACAGTGTGTCTGTGCTTCTCTTAGTGCGAAGATCCTTGACGTGTCGGCCACCAATGAGTATGTTTGTGTGCAGCAGCCACAGGGACGAGGGCACTGAGTGCACCAAGACCTGTCAAAACTATGACCTGGAGTGTGTGAGTCCGGGCTGTGTCTCAGGCTGCATGTGTCCTGCTGGGACGGTAAGGATTTGTAGCATGTCCCTTCCATTAAGTGTTACCCAGTAAATACCAGGATCGGAAAAGAATGCAGCCAAACATTGCTGAAAATGGGAACATACTGAATGAGAAAATTATTCTCCCAGCTATTTTTTGACTGGGAGTTAGACAGATGCAGGAAAATGATTGTTTAATTTTTCAGAGGGTGATTTTGTGGAAGAGATCCTGAAGGAAGAAGGACTTCACTTGACACTGAAGATGTTGTCTTAATGACTGATCGGGACCCAGAAAAAAATTGATCTGGCTTGCTTGGAGTAGGCCAGCAAGTTAGAAAAGCTGTTTTCCTGACAGCGACATTTCATAACAGTCATATTGAAGGACTTAAGGCAAAGGACAGCGTACTCTGCCTAACCTATTGCATGATTGAATGTGTCATTCAACAATTTCACAGCGACATCCGCAGATCTGTTTTTAACTGCTGCTTGCTTGTTCTACAAAGGACTTGAGACAGGTATTGCTACTGTTGATTTTTAGAGCTTCTGGGTCAGAAGACAATATCTTGACAGTCCCGATGCCAAGTCATTGGTATGAAATCACCAAAACATGAAGTGAAGGGAGCAATTCACCTCCAAGAGAGGAAACAATGTTGATGTTGAGTGTCTGAATGTATTTGTTGGTGCAATGCAAATTCATGATTTATCCTATCCATCGTCCTGTCCAAGTTTCCCATTGGCCTTCACCAATCATGGCCTCCTAATAATCCCCCTCTATGAATTGGCTTCATCCCTCTGCTCTCCTCCCCACTGTCAGCTGATGTGTGGTGAGCATTCTGGTGCACTATGGCTGCCATCATATCATCCAGGTGGGGCTGCACATTGGTGGTGGTGGTGGGATTCCCTATTAACTGTAAAGCGCTTTGAGTGGAGTGGCCAGAAAAGCGCTATATAAGTATAGAGAAATATTATTATATAATCTGACAAGAAAGTATAAAAATAAGTTGCAGTCAATTCTTGACTCTACATAAACTTCAACTGAATGCATGTTTCATCCAGTAGAGACTGGGCCTGGGCTTTTATCCACCCATGTAATAAAATATTATTAAACTGTCCCTGGGGAACTTAATCTTTTTTTGTCCCACCATGACATGATTAAATGATTAATAAGCTCACTTAATTAATGTGGAAATTCACCCCTAGTGGATGGTGAAATAGATCTTTCTTTTTAAGGCTCAGTATATTTGGCTAGTGGCAGACTCTTAACACAAAAGATCACAATGCTATTTTGCACATACTACAATCTGCAACACCAGCTGACTCTCTGTGATTGTTTAAGAAATGGCTGAATGAGATTCTGGGACCGTGTTTAGTGTATCATACATTGTGTGTGCCACCTCTGGGGAACTTAATCTTGTAATTAAGCAGGGTTGTGAATATTGATACTTATTTTATGGCACACTTTTATTTTATGGCACAGGTCAGATACAGGAACTACCAGTGTCTCTCCCCAGAGCTCTGCCCCTGTTTCCACAATGGGAAGGAATACAGTCCTGGGCAGACAATCAGCAGTGACTGCAACACTTGGTAAGATCAGATCACTTTATTAGCCATATACAATTTCTCGCATTAGGAATTTATCTTTTCTCAAGCCGCCAACTTGCTCTCAATGAGACACACAGACAGGGAGAGAAGCTGGGGGTCAGAGCGCAGGGTCAGCCATTTATACGGCGCCCCTGGAGCAGTTGGGGTTAAGGGCCTTGCTCAGGTGCCCAACAGGATTCCTCTGCCGGCTGCAGGATTTAAACCAGCAACCTTCCAGCCACAGGCGCAGATCCTTAGCCACAGTGCCACTGCACCGCCCAACGGTAAGGCACCTCAGTTCAGATCCTGAACAAATTTCAGATTAGCTCGGGATTTATTAATTAGTGTTTGTCCAGTACAGTGATCTATTATCTTCATCACGCCTTGCACGATCTCTCTCGATGGCTTGTGCTGCAGGCTGCTGGGAGCTTGAGGGTGGAGTTTACCCGGTAACAGAAACACCAGTCGTTCCTTAAGTTTTAAACCAGAGTCCCTTCTCTTGTGCCCCCAGTCTTTTTGTGCGGTGGGCGATTCCAGAAACACGTTCAGTACTTTCACATTTAGAAATCAACCAAGAAGGTTTCAGGACCTGACAATTTGCATTTTCTTAAATCGATTGTGTTAAGTCCATGCATTAGGCCCATCATTGAAAAAAATATACTGGACATGCTGTTGTCCATTTTTAATACAGACATATTTAAGAAAGTCAGGACCTGTGTCTCAGAGCCCATGGCAGGCGAGATATTACCTGTTTACAGAGAAACCTGGAGGTGTATATTCTGAGTGGGGAAGTGTGTGTTTTTTTTTATTTCGGCAGCGTGTGCCGCAACAGGAAGTGGGAGTGCAGTCAGCGAGTGTGTGACGGCTCCTGTCAGGCCATCGGCGAGTCCCATTACCTGACCTTTGATGGGCTGAAGTATACCTTCCCTGGGCTCTGTCAGTATGTGTTGGCACAGGTAAGCAGAGTCTGTGTGGAGGCTCACTGACCAGAGTCTGGCCATAGCAGCAAGTAAACACAGGCAGACCTGAAAACAAAGAGAGGACAGGCTCACTGACAACAGCCTGGCCATAGCAACGGGTCAACACAGGCAGACCTGGCTGTCCAGAGAGGACAGGTTCAGTGTCCACAGCCTGTCCATAGCAACGGGTCAACACAGGCAGACCTGGCTGTCCAGAGAGGACATGTTCAGTGTCAACAGCCTGTCCATAGTAACGGGTCAACACAGGCAGACCTGGCTGTCCAGAGAGGACAGGTTCAGTGTCCACAGCCTGTCCATAGCAACAGGTCAACACAGGCAGACCTGGCTGTCCTGAGAGGACATGTTCAGTGTCAACAGCCTGTCCATAGTAACGGGTCAACACAGGAAGACCTGGCTGTCCAAAGAGGACAGATTCAGTGTCCACAGCCTGTCCATAGCTACAGGTCAGCTACAGGTCCCTGCCAGCAGGGAGATAAAGTTTCTGCTGCTACTGTATATGAGAAATACTCACTCACTAGGGTATAGATGAACATTCATCCCTAAAATAATTAATAATTAATCTAATCTAATCCCAGAATTTCCACTCTTGCCCAAATCAGAACAGCTGCCATTTGTACTGCGGGAGGGGTGAGGAAATTCAGAAGAGCTGGCAGCCCATTACGTGATCCTGTTACAGCGAAAGGAACAGACAGTGCGCTTGTCTCGCAAAAAAGTTTCATGTGAAGTCCCTAAACAATAGGGATGTAAACAATAAACTGTAATGGTTCTTTTAATTGGTTCTGCTTTGGTGGTGCTGCAATTTATTGGTCATACCAGTAAAGCCCGAAAGAGTCACCGAAAATAAAAAAAAATATATACTACAGTATACAGTATATATTTTGCTGCCTTCTCATTCTTACATCCTCCTGGTTCAACGACACCGGCCTGGCTGTGGTCATTGAGGCTGTCTGCTCTGGGCAGCCCAGGTGGAAAGAGACCTGTTGACAGAGGTGGTGTTTGATTTGGCAAAAAGAGAACCTTTCTTTCAGAGCACGTGGTACATTAACCTTTTCTCTCCTCAGGATCACTGCAATGGCAATGAGGGCACCTTCCGCATCCTAGTGGAGAACGGTGTCTGCGGAGGTCCAGGGCAGAAATGCTCAAAGATCATCACTGTGGTTTACAAGGGAGGAGTCATAGAGATGGCACATGGAGAGGTGAGGACATACAGTACATAGTGAGAATATGAACAGAACAGAATGAACACTTGGTCCACAAGGCACTATAGATATTCTGCCCAATGATTTTCATAATCTACAGCAGATTTATTCACCCCTCCATTTTCTACCTGCGTCATCCAATACAGGGTTGCAGGGGAGCTAGAGCCTATCCTGGCAAGAAACAGGCACAGGGCAGGGTACACCCTTGATGGGATGCCAGTCCGTTGCAGGGCAGACAGACAGAAATGCAGGCGCACACACGCTCATACCAGGGCCAGTCAACCTACCAGCATGTTTATGGACTGTGGGAGAAGACCACCCAGAGGAAACCCACCTGAATGGGGGGGGAGAACATGCAAACTCCACACAGATAGCACCCCAGGTCTGGAATTGGCCACTGAGCCAACCATGGGACACTCGATGTCTAGTGAAAGTCAGATGGAAATGTCTCGCGATTTGTTTTTTTTTATTATACAGTATCTAATTGTGCACTAATTCCGTAAGACTAATAATGCTATTTATCGTCAGCTAATGTCATTGATGATTAATGAACTTAATGAACTATTAGTGAACTTGGCCAGGTAGGTGGAGACTGGCTCCCATGATTCTTATACATATGAACCACCTCCATTTAATCTAGCAGCTGACCGCTCAAGGTGGACTATGTCCATTAACACAATTAGCTGCAACATAATGTGACCATAACAGGTCCAATCCAGGGTTTAAGGACAATGTTTGCAGCTGATAAACCCACTAATAAAAATGTTACATTGAAATGCTTAGGCTTTTAAGTTGACGAACTCCGAGATGGTTAGGCAATATCGATATTACAGAATGTATAAAAATAATTTGGCCATGTATGATTTCATATTCATCTTTCATGAGCATAATCGCCTTGTTCTGTCCACTCGGCGCAGGTGAATATGCAGAAGCCTGTGGTGCACGAGACTGAGGTGGAGATAATAAAGTCAGGCCTGTTCTACATTGTGCTGCTTGGGAAGGATCTATCAGTCACATGGGACAGGGGCACCCGCATCATTGTCCAGCTCAAAGGACACTACAGGGTAAGACTTGGGAAACGTCAATCGGCTGGCAATACTTCCCACAGAGAGAGGGCTGGATATCAGAGACAGCAGCGCTGGCAGGGTCCTTATCAAAGAGCTGTTTCGATTTCTCTTTCCGCCTCGACAGGAGAAAGTGTGCGGCCTCTGTGGCAACTTCGATGGCAATCAGAACAATGACCTGCTGAGCAGCAACAACCAGCTGGAGGTGGAGCCGGCGGATTTTGGGAATTCCTGGAAAGTCCAGCCGAGCTGCGCTGACGCCTCTCAGGTACAGTAGATGGCGGTAGTAAGCAAGCACGACAGAAGACAGAAAAGAGCAAAACAGAAGGAAGGCTTCAAATGCTGGGCCTTTATTATGTGTCGATGAGAAGGCTCATCAGCCAGAACATTGGGTTCTTTCTTTCTTACTTTCCTTTTTCTTTCTTTTCTTTGTCTTCTTTCTTTTTTGCTTTCTTCTTTCTTCGTTCTTTCCGGCTTTCTTGCTTTCTGCTGTTCAAAATGGAATCTTCCTCTACGTGTTTCTCTCTGCTGCACGCCACTGTTGGTGTCCCCATTGTTAGAAGAATGTGGGTTCTGTGGTAAGAAAAATAGTTCCCACCCCTTTCTTGCCAAAATTCTATAACATCTTTCAGCTGAGGTAAACTGTTGTGGCCTACGTATTAAGGAAGAACAACAAATGTCCTTCAACAATATTGCTTTCTACATAGAGTAAGCAAACAGGATGTTTTGGTAGACTTCTGTTGCTGCCGTCATTGGCTCTAATTCAATTTCATTCAATTCAAGCTTTATTATCCCCTGGGGAATGATCGTGTTAACGTCACAGTCCAATGCTACAAAGAAGACAAACACTTCACCAACAGAGAGGACAGTACAACAGTGTAACAGGAGATAAGAGTTACTTTACTTCATGATAGACCACAGGGCCCCAGTGCTGCAAGATGACCATTCTAACCACTGTGCCACCATGCTGCTCTAGCAAAAATGTTTTTTACAAATATGCGAGCAGGATGAAAAATGAATAAAGCGCACAATTATCCACATGGTCATTTCTTTGTGATTTTCTTATGACTTCAGGTTCCTTCTCAATGCAGTGACAATGTCATGAAGCTGGTCTCCGTGGAGCAGACTTGTCTCATTCTCACCAGCGAACTCTTCAAGCAGTGCAACAGTGTGGTAAGACTAGCAAGGAAACTAGTTTGTTTAGTTCCCATGAGAGCTTAAACATTAACAGGTACTGTAACTGCCCGGGAAGAACAAGCGCCATTCACTGAGAGGTAAAAAAGGCAAGTCAGAATAGGTTATTCTATAGCTATTGAAGTGTGTCTCCTCATACAGTTTCCAATCTATATCTTTTCTATTACAATTAAGATAGTTAGACCTTTATTTGAAACATAACATTGTGAAATATTTCAAACATTGTAATTAAAGAAGGGAAACGTCTGGATCTATTACTGTTAAATTTTCTTTTAGTGTTGCATCCAGAAATACTGCATGCAATCCATCATTTTGTTTTCACCTGTCCAAGAACACAATTGTGGGTTCTTACTAAAGTACACTTGATTTTATTGTGTGCTACTAATTTGGTCCTTTCCTCAGCTTGATTTTTATTAGAGGTAGGGTAAGTCACTCAGCCAGAACAGACCTCACAACCATATTAAGAATACCTTCTGCACATCAAAGGTGTGATGGAAATACTTCATTTTCATGTAAAGTGTAGACGACAGTGTAGTATCCCTAATAATACTATATGCATTCTGTAAGACCCTTGAATTTACAGATAAGTGAGTGATCTTTGACAGAATGAATAACTTTCTAAGCTGATTGCCAATGGAAAATACTGTGCATATCTCAAGCAGAGATTCTCTTTTTCTGACTAGGTTAACCCAGAACCCTACTGGGAGATCTGTACTCATGACACCTGCTCCTGCAAATCCATTGGCGACTGCACGTGCTTCTGTGATGTTATAGCAGCCTACGCCCACAAGTGTGCCCAGAGAGGAGTAGTCATCCACTGGAGATCCAACAGCCTGTGTCGTATGTTTGCCTCTGAATGTTACTAATCTAGAGGAATCTAGGGTTACAGTTTCAGGGAGTTTTCCTGTAGTATGCATGCATTAAATTCGCAGGCCAAAATTCTAAACATGGTTAAAGTCTTCAGGCTGTAAAAACATGAACTGTAAACGCAAGATGGCAAGCTCTGGGCTTGTTGAGAGCTTGATAAAGGCCTTATGTGTTTATCCCTACATCCGTTTCTTCCAAGTCAGTGTCGCAGGGGAAATGGAGCCTGTCCCAGCAAGCAAGGCAGGGTACACTCTGGATGGGACACCAGTCCATCGCAGAGCAGATACACAAACACACCCACTCACACCAGCTCCCAGAAGCCAATTAACCCACCAGCGTGTCTGTGGACAGTTGGAGGAAACCAGAGCACCTGGAGGAATCCCAGAAGAACATGGGGAGACCACGCAAAATCCATGCAGATGGCACCCCAAAATAATTACACCCAATGCCCCAGCTCTGCGAGGCAGTAAAGCTAACCACTGTGCCACCATGACATCCCCTTAAGTCTTTATGTGCCAAATTTTCATTTTATTGTGGGGGAATCAATACAATAGACCCTGAAAAATATTAGTCAAAAGTGTAGAATTTAAATCAAAATTGGTTTTATATTAAAATACTGTAGATACATTTGAATGGATTGAAGGAGTGTTCTGCTCTGAAGGGTAAACAGAGCTAAACCTTTTTAGCTTCAGGCAGAAGACTATGAGGGGTCCTGACAAGGCTTCAAAATTCTTCAGAATGGACAGTGTTAATAATTATTATTATTCGTTATTAAAGAAGAAAAGAAAGATGTTCTACAGGGCTTTTTTACTTTCCCTTAACAAAATTCCTTAATTAAAAAGCAGTTTTGACTTATATCCACACATGTGTGCAATTCGAAAACCGCACACATTGCACGTGAGAATTGTCCCGGAAACTGATCTGAACTAAGACACTAGACCTGGAATTTCTCTTGTGTGTTCCAGCCCTGAGCTGTCAGGAGCTGAACAAAGCGGAGCCCGAGTTCGAGTGCGAGTGGAGATACAACACCTGCGCCCCCGCGTGCCCTGTGACCTGCCAGCACCCGGAGCCCCTGCCCTGCCCGAAGATGTGCGTGGAGGGCTGCCATGCCACCTGTCCGCCAGGTCAGTACTTCCTCTCCTCCCTGTCTTGAGGTCAGGCAGCCCCTGCCCTTGCCAGGGTTCGACAGTGGCGCACTTTCCTGGGACATGCCAAAAGACCGGGTCCTCTGCCCTTGCAGAGCTGTACACTGTCTAGATTGCAGGGGTGGGTGATGTCACTCCTGTAACCAGCTCAGCCAGCTGAACCCCTGTTCTATGGCCATATAAATCCAGAAGGAAATCTCTGGTCCTGACACAGCGAAGATATCAGACAGGGTTCAAACTGTTACTGCCCAACGAGAACAGGAGAGTTGATAAGCCATTGCATATAGATCACTTTACCATGCTCATAAAACCACAAGAACACTACCACTGCATTCACAGCAGACAGTAAAAAGCCTGTATGTAAGCAGACTGACGAATCAGGTGTCCCAGTGCGAGGAAACATGGAAGATTTGTGGACCATCATGGCGGGAATTGTCTCTGTGCACAAGACCAGGTCCTCTGCCACATCACAATTTCGCACAGTTTATATGGCAGAAGGGGGTTGAAGTAGGTTCTGTAACTGGCTCAGTGCCTGGCCTCTGCTACTCCAACACCACCACAATTATCCAGTTGGACACTGCAAATTGCTGCTGTTTGTGGGATTCCCCATTACCTGTAAAGGGCTTTGAGTGGAGTATCCAGCGCTAGATAAGTGTAAGAGTTAATTATTGTTTATTTATAAAAAGGAAGAGCTTGCTATATCCTTGCAAATGAGATTGTTCTGTATTTGTGGATGCACCTAATGGAATGTGCTTGTCTGCTCTGCTGCTTCACAGGGAAGATCCTGGATGAGGTGGCTATGAGGTGTGTGGAGCCAGGAGAGTGCCGCGTGTGTCTTCATGAGGGCAGGAGAGTCGCTCACGGGAAGAAAATCATCTTGAACCATGAGATCCCAGAGCTGTGTCAGATCTGGTAAAGAGCAGTCGGCTCTGTGATTTAATCTTTTGCTGGACAAAACATAGGAACATACTGTAGGAATGGTTACGTATGAGAGAAAACCATTGATCCAAGGGTCTCATGCAGCCACATGGTCAGGCAGCTTGTTCTCCACTACCACCACCCTCTGTGTAAAGTGTCTTCTCTCCTGATTGGAGGGTGTCGGCTTCAACGACGTGGCTGCATAGCTTGTTCCACAACCCCAAAACCCCAAATCATGCAGTCATCCACGAAAGAACAGCTGTTTTCCTTGAGAATATAAGTGAGGCACTAGCTGAGCACAAATACAGCCAGAGCTCATGTGGATCCCAACTTCCCAATGTAGGAAGACAGGAAACGTTTACAGTATATGGTTTGAGTGGTTAGCCGCACCAGCACACATTGTCTGCCAAAAAACAAAATGACAACATTTCTCCAGTACACTTCCAGTAAATTATTATTCTCAGCTATTCCTCAGCTGCTGTTCTCCTAATAATATCTAATTGTGTTTCATTCTGAATGGAAAAAAAAATTGCGTACAGTAGTCTTCAGAGGGTGCAGTTCAATATATAAAAACATATCTTAACACAAGAATGAGAATGTTGTAATACGCATTTAGAGAAAAGCTCCTAAAACGTAGGACCACTGGAGTGTGAAGAATGTCTTTGTGTTTGTAGCTTCAGCTTGTAACCTGAGGTCTTGTCTCTGGCAGCCACTGCGAGAATGATAACCTGACCTGCGAGAGATGCCCGGTGGAGATTGTGACCACTACCGCTGCTTACGTCCCCACCACCCCCACTCCAGAGCCCTTCTCCACCCCTGTGCCAGAGGAAGCGTGTGACCGCGCGATGGACCTGGCCTTCCTGGTGGACGGCTCCTCGTACCTGTCCGAGGCGGACTTCGAGGCGGTGAAGCGATTCATCATCACGGTGATGGAGCAGTTCCGCATGGGCTCGGCTCACACCCGGGCCACCATCTTGCAGTTCCACTCGGGCGTCAAGAGCTACGAGATGCAGGTGCAGAAGCGCGTCTTCAAGAAGATGGTGAGGGGCATGAAGTACAGCGGCGGGGAAACGGCGTTCATGGACGAGGCCCTGAAGTACCTGGCCGTCTTCATCTACGACAAGGACAAGCGCGAGCACGCCGAGCGAGTGGCGGTGCTGCTGACCGCCAGCACCAACCCCCGGTCCATGAAGACCACCCAGAGGCTGCTGAAGAAGAAAGCCATCACCACGGTAACCATCGGCCTTGGCCCAGACGTCAGCACTGCCCAGATCAACGAGATCACCAAAGCCTCCAAAAACAGCCGGGCCTACATCCTCAACAGCGTCGACGAGCTTGACGAGCGCACAGGCGAAATCACCAACTACATGTGCACTCTGGGGCTCACACCTCTTGTCCCCAAGCCGCCAACTAAAAGGCCACCGGTTTCTCAGTCCTCGTCCACCGGGACTCCCGTGGGTCCCACAGTGAGGCGTGTCACTTCACAAACACCGCCGCCCACTCACCTGGCGCTTACCATGCTCCCCAGCCTCACGGCCGTCAAGGACTTGACCTTCGTCATCGAAGGATCGGACAAAGTCGGGGAGGAGAACTTCAACAAAACCAGGGAGTTCCTGGAGAAGGTCATCACAGAGCTGCCTGTAGGGGAGGAGACGATCCGCATCACCATCGTCCAGTACTCCTTCACCACCACCATCGAGTACTCTTACAGAGAAACCCAGGAGAAGACGACCATCCTGGACAGAGTGCGGAAGATGCAGTGGCATGGAGGGAACGCTACCAACACTGGCAAGGCGGTACAGACGGTGTCAGAAAGCACCTTCACAAAAAGCCAGGGAGGAAGGGATCAGGTGCCCAAGCTGGTCTTCCTGGTTACAAGCAACACACCCACCGACAAGATCACCAGGCACACCGAGACGTCCGACGTGCAGGTCTTCCCCATCGGAGTGGGGCCCTCCATCAGAGAGATCGACCTTGAGCCCCTCAGCCACCCACGGAGACCCCTTATAGTTCCAGATTACACCCAGCTTCAGGACGTGGTGACGCAGGTGGTTCATCAGGCAGTGCTGCCTGAAAACTACTATCATACCACAACCACAACGTCTGCCCCTGCCCCCATGACAACGCTGTCTCCTTCAGGTAATCTTTGCAGACAGGGAGAGATAATAAGGTCGAGCAAGTATTATATTGCTGTAACAGGGCAGCCAGGTTTAAGAAGTGAAAAGGGGGGGAATGTCTCACTAGGGGGAAGCAATGAGACATTCCTTAAACTGCACTTGTACCAGAAAATCTGGAAATAGAATGCACCTGTGTGTGGTGTCTCCTACACAAGTTACATGGAGTTACAAGATAACAAGTAACAATACAGTGCAACCAGGTGCATTAAGACCCTGACGATTCGTTGAAGAGTGAGCCATGCAAAAACTCCATACAGCTAAAAGCAGAGAACCCATTCCAGTCAAAGATATGAACAAGTATCTAAGTTCTGAGTAACAGCCTCGGTAGTAGCCATGTCAGCCACTGGTAAAATAAGAAGACGGTATTTGGTGGACTGGTGAAACGGGTTCAACCAGGTGTGAGTTTTTCCACTGTTAATAGAAGGACAAAGTAGGGACAGCTTATATGCAGGTTTCCCTACTACGCTATCGTCTGAGGGTGAGATCTGTTAAAAGTGTACAGCATCAACTCCATGTCCCTATTCGTTACAATATGTACAATATTACATTGTAAGGTTACATACAGTATTCATCTTTAGATCCTGTGCCATTTATTTTATGTATTATTACTCTTTTTATTTAACACACTGACTTATTTTAAAATGTTCAATATATGGGAGTAAGTGTCTGCCTCCGCTTTTATAGTTTATTGGCAAGGAATGGGCACAAGGCAGGACACACCCTGGACAGGACACCAGTCCCCCATAGGACAGACACACTCACACCAGGGCAATAGTTTTCCCTGAAGCCAATCAACCTACCAGCAAGGCCTTAGATTGTGGGAGAAAACCCACACCAACATGGGAAGAACATGCAAACTCCACACAGACAACACCCCAGGTCCTGAATTGAACCCAGGCACCTACCGCTGTGAGGCAGCAATGCTAACTACTGCACCTCTTGTCTGCCCTGTATCCTGTATATTTTTTTTAATTTATGGAACTTCTTAAACTCTATATGTTTAGAAAATATCTTGACAATTTCAAGCAGGAATTAACTTGTTACCTTTACTAGATTCAGTTTCAGCTTATTCTAGACTGAGAGTTGCCAATTAAACCAATGAAACACAGCATTTTAAATTATTTTATTGTCTTCTAAATTGCATACAGTAAATATACTGTAAACTGAAAAATCCACATACTGTATAATAAAATCAACACTATTGGTTTTTATTTAGCTCCTAGCTACAGCAAAAGGGGAAATAAGAAATTTAGACTCTCTATAGTAAAAAAAAAAAAGTTTGACTTGAGTTTGTTAAATTAGGGCTTTTGTCTTGTAAATGAAGAAAAAAAGGTTTCATAATTAAAGTATGTTGTCTCCTTTTTCTCCCAGTTTAGAGCAAAGCTTATTCCAGACCATACTTTGTTTTCTCTGAGTATTGAACAAAATCCAGTTTTATTTTATGAATTTTGAAACCCGGATTGGGTCTACTGTACCTTCAGCAGACTTTTCCTTAGTGCAACTGGTTATGACTGGAACCAGTTCTGCTTGTTCATGTGTGACGTCAATGAGAGTAATTGAGTTTATAGTATACTACAAACAGTTGTAAAATGTGTGTGTGTCCTACAGTAGGTAGTGTGACCTGGTATTTCTCCTAATGTCAGCTACTACATGTATTTTAAGCGCTGCCAGGTAACAGGAGAATCTGCTACTCTTAATGTCAAGATAGTGTTGAGATTGCTTTGTGTACAGTCATCGGTTAGATCCAGTTGACTCACCACTGGGTGATTCTGTCTTTCCCACACTCGCCAAGGAACTCCAGGTATATGCCATCTCTGACAGGGTTTAAGCAATTCCCTTGTCTTTTGTCTTTTGTGCTCTTTAATTTTGTATATTGTTACTTGTGTGTTCAGCCTTTGTGTAGACTTTCAGAATGGACATAATTGCCTTCCCGTTTCATTGTCTTTACAACACTGTCTATACTTCTAACCTGGTTTGATTCACAGTTAACACTATTAGTAGAGAAACACACCCTGCAGTATTTACTCCATCTTTTTAAAACTAAGTTTTTACACTAAGCTTGTGGTGCTCGGTTACACAACAGTGTCTAGAACCCAAGAAGCCTACATCTTAGAAAGGAAATCCCCAAATGCCCTGCATCTCTCATGCAAATTGAGGCTAATAACAGTGCATTCGTTGAGTTATTGAACTGCTGTGCTGGAGAAAATGTGGATTGTCCTGCCCTCTAGTGTTTCCTCATTGTAATTCCACCCTTTGTGGTTACTTGAACCAGATTGTCATGTCAGGTACACAAGTGCACCTTTTTAAAAAAAATAATTTTGACTTTTTTCCTTCCACAGTGCCCTGCGACAAGCCCATGGATGTGATTTTCATTCTGAAAGAGAGCTCGGATAGGTCCTCCCCCCAGTTTGAAGACATGAAGACCTTTGTCAAGGCTTTTATCAACAAAGCAAATATCGGTACGTGAAAAAAAAACAGCCGGTGGAAGACGCCGGAATGTAGCATTTTAGGAAATTCAAGGTGAAATCTCGGGTGAAGAGAAAGTTGATCAGCAGATTTGGAACGCATCAATGTTTCAGTACGAAGTGTACTTTTTACACTCTGCGTGTGATGAATGCACATACAGCTGTAGTGTTTTAATCTCTGTGGACTGATAATTTGAAGAACTGGTGTAAATAAATGCGACCTCCCTTACTCTCAAAATGTCTGCTTTTCACATACTGTACAGCTGCCGATTAAATTTTTATATACTGTAGATATACTGTAAATAAGATTTAAACCAGTTACTAGTTCTACACTGTGCTTTGGCACGTCGTTGTGAAACAGAGACCACTGTTTTTTTTTGGGGGGGTATCCAGGTCACTCAAAGCTGTCAAAAATGATGCCACTCTTGTCTGAGTCTTACACTGTCGCCACCTCCACAGGTCCCACAGGAACACAAGTGTCGGTTCTCCAGTACGGCGACACGAACACGATTGATGTCACCTGGAAGGATCGGCAGAGCAGGGAGAACCTTGTGAGGCTGGTTGACGCCATGAGCAAGAGGAAGGCCACCTCCACTAGACTAGGTATGACTGTGCATGCACACAGCATGATCAAGCCTCTCTGGGCTTCTCAGAGCTTTCACACCAGTGAGGGGAGGACAGAGCCCTCACTTGACTTGGAATGTGAAACCCAAGAACGCAATCTGTATCTGGGTGAAGACAGACTCTAAAACTAAATGGGCTTTAATCTTTTGCAGGAGGTCATCATATAATCCCAATTCTGCTCTTGAAGGTATAAATAGCTCTGAGCTGCTAGCCAGCAGCCATATCACTCTGCAACTCACGGAAGCTCAGCAGGTCTGAGTCTGAGCCTTATCAGTACCTGGATGTGAGACCTCCTGGGAAAAA